TCTTGGAGGTAACAGGCCACAGCATTTATTAAAACACAAATACTGCATGACTCCTTCAATGTATAACTTTACATAATATTCTCATAAAATAAATAAATAACATGTAAGTACCTGCATGATGTCATACAGTACTCGTCCAACACGTCCTTGCCAATCTCATTCCTTCTTCCCAAAGGCTCTCACCTCCCCCCCTCGGCATAATAAACTCCTCTTGCCTTTTTGGCACCCAACCAGCAGGCTTTTAGCTCGGTGAGGCCCGACCACAATGCTCCCTACCAGCTGGCTTTAGCTCGGTGGGGACACGTCCAACTTGGTACCCCTTAAGGTTCACCAAAGAGACAGGGGAGGATGAGACCTGGCCATTACGCCTACCTTCATCTGACCTGCAAAAAAACACCACCCCTGGATACAGCTATAGGAAAACACATACTCTATGCTAATCTCTTGCTTTCATCTTTCATGTAAATCCATACCTCCAAACCGCAGTCTCCAGTGAAGCCCAACAAATGTCAATGGGCGGGGTAAAATGGCAGGCCACTGATGCAAGTCACGTAACCAGAACTGCCGAAAGGGGCGAACATGCCCAAAAAGGTGTGTCTGCTCAAAAAATTGGAAGGCCAGCCTGGCATGAATGCATGGCAGGCACCCAGGAGCTTGGTATAAATGTGTCAAATGATGCGCCTACTCCACGCTTTCTAAGGACTGATCCCTAGCACTCACATGTCCACTTGTCTCCTTACCTTCTTACTAGCAGGCAGAAGTTCCTGGTATAGTCTGAGACTGAGAAAAGGTGGATGTAGTGAGTGTAGAAGAAAGGGAACATGCCACAGTGTTAGAGAGAACAAAGTCTGCATTACCTTTAAAGGGACACTATAGTCACCAGAACAACTACAGCTTATTGCATTTGTTCTGGTGAGTAGAATCATTACCGTCAGGCTTTTTGCTGTAAACACTGTCTTTTCAGAGAAAATGCAGTGTTTACATTACAGCCTAGTGATAACTTCACTGGCCTCTCCTCCGATGGCTGTTAGAGATCCTTCCTGGGTCATTGCTGCCTAAAATGCATCCAAACATTCAGTATCTCCTCCCTCTGCATGCAGACACTGAACTTTCCTCATAGAGATTCATTGATTCAATTCATCTCTTCTGATTGGCCAGGGCTGTGTTTGAATCATGCTGGCTCTGCCCCTGATCTGCCTACTTGTCAGTCTTAGCCAATCCTATGGAGAAGCATTGTGATTGGATCAGGCTACCACTTCTGATGATATTAGCACACTGCTTGTTTTTCTGAGTCTAACAGCATGCAAAGTTACAGGTTCAGGCTTGAATATAACAAGATTTTTCTATATTTATGAAGGCATGAGGGGCCCAGGGGGGCTAGATGGTGGTGTTAACACTATAGGGTCAGGAATACATGTTTGTGTTCCTGACCCTATAGTGATCCTTTAAATAATTTCATTTCAGCTAGTCCACACAGGTTTTGTTCCCATCCATCCCTTTTAAGCTTCCATACTTGAGCAAGAGTATGTGAAGAGTAGTTAGTGTTGCCACCTTTCTTGGAAAAAAATACTGGCCTTAATTATTTGCAGAATAAATAAGTTATGCGTGACATCACATGATGTAAATCACAAGGAGTGTTATAAGAGAAAATTCTGTAAAATCACCAAAAAACTACTTAGTTTGATTCTGCTGTATAGATGGATTGCTCCCATTGTCTGTGTCCCTATGTATCACGGTGTCCTCATTTCTCACAGTGTCCACTAGTGTCAGTGTCCTTATGTATCACAGTGTGTCAGTGTTCCCTTGTGTCTCCATGTGTCTCAGCGTTCCCAGGTCTCCCAGTGTCCCTAGTGTCTCAGTGTCCCCATGTCTCCCTGCTGCCTTTCTCCCCCATCCCTCACTTACCTAAACTATGGGCTGTCTCTGCAGCCTGTGAGCTGCTGTCTGGACTCTGTCCTGTGTAGCTGCTCCCCTGAGGATTGAGTAGAGAGAGGCATATGCTGTAACTTCCTATCCCTGCCTCTCTCCACACATAGCGACCTCTACTGGCCTGTGCTGATATTGCAGAGTAACCTCCGTTTATACTGAGAATAATACTTGCATCTGTATTGCCAGTATTACTGCAATATGGGCATGGACAGGTAGCCTCAAATACTGGCTGTGCTGGTAAAATACCGGCCATGGGGAAATCCTAAGTACTGGGTCAATGGGCCTATTCTATGGGCATGGGCCTGGAGCTGCAGCTCCATCAGCCCCTATGTTAATCTGGCCCTGTGTATACCTTAACATATGTAATCAGCACTCTGTGTATACTGTAACATGTCTAATCAGCACTCTGCCTGTGTATATGGTAACATGTATAATCAGCACTCTGTGCATACTGTAACATGTGTAATCAGCTCGCAGTGTACTCTAATGTGTGTAATCAGCACTCTCTGTGTGTACTGTAATGTGTGTAATCAGCACTCTCTGTGTATACTGTAACATGTGTAATCAGCACTCTCAGTGTATAGTAACATGACTAATCAGCACTCTCTCTGTGTATACTGTAACCAGGGCCGCCATCAGGGCATGACAACCGCAACGGTTGTCATGGGCCCGGCGGTCCTGGGGGGCCCGGACTGCTCAGGTGGTCCGGGCCCCAGATTCAGTGGGTACATACCGGGTCGCAGAGGGAGGGGGGAGAGGAATTAAATTTGAGGGAGGGGGAGAGACACTAGGGAGAGAGGAAGGAAATTTGAGGGAGGGAGAGAGGAAGGAAATTTGAGGGACGGGGGGAGAGGAAGGAAATTTGAGGGACGGGGAGAGGAAGGAAATTTGAGGGACGGGAGGAGGGGAAGGAAATTTGAGGGACGGGGGAGAGGAAGGAAATTGGAGGGGGGAGAGAAGGAAATGAGAGGGAGAAGAAGGAAATTGGAGGGGGGAAGAAGGAAATTGGAGAGGGAGGGGGAGAAGAAGGAAATTGGAGAGGGAGGGGGAGAAGAAGGAAATTGGAGGGAGAGGGGGTGAGAAGGAAATTGACGGGGGGAGGGGGAGAGATTGACATCCATCACACACAATGCACACCTTGCACACAGAAAAACACACAATGCATTACACACAGACACACGTACACAAGCAATGCATCCCTTACACACAGCAACACACAATGCACCCCTTACAGACGCACACACTGCATCCCATACATACACAAACTCATCTTGCAGCCCTTACACATACAAACACAGATTCACACAATGCATTCCTTACACACATCAGGACACCCCCCACACCCCACCCCCTGTGAACAAACTCATTGGTGGAACATGAAGGTGGACCCTGGGACCCAGACCTTGAGCTGTGTAAAGGGCCCTCAAAAAAATGGAGCTGCTTCCCGTTCTCCCAGAACAGTGATTTTTGTGACCACAGTTACAAACCGCCTCCAGAGAGCCTGTTGTACACCAGACCAGTGGAGCCAGACGGCAGCTAGAGCCCATCATCATCCTCATCTGGTTGTAAGTAGGCAATCTAGTATATTATTTGTGGCACTAATCTCTAATTTACCTCACATTAAAGGGACACTATAGTCCCCAGAACCACTGCAGCTTAATGTAGTGGTTCTGGTGTCTAGCCTGTCCCTACATGCCTTTTAATGCAAACACCGCAGCACTGGTGTTAGTTAACATGGCAGATCATATGGGTGGGGCATTGTGATGTCACATGGGGGGGCGGCAAACTTTACTTTTGCCTAGGGCGGCAAAAATCCTTGCACCGGTCCTGCAGACACTGCATCCCTGTGGGCGGATTCGGAGGGGGGGGCACTTTGGGCGGACTCGGGTGCAGGCACCGGGGGGCCCAGACCTTGAGCTGTGTCAGGGGCCCCAACATTTCTGATGGCAGCCCTGGCACTCTGTCTGTGTATACTGTAACATGTATAATCAGCACTCTGTGTATACTGTAACATGTGTAATCAGCACTCTGTCTGTGTATACTGTAACATGTGTAATCAGCACTCTGTCTGTGTATACTGTAACATGTATAATCAGCACTCTGTGTATACTGTAACATATGTAATCAGCGCTCTGTCTGTGTATACTGTAACATGTGTAATCAGCACTCTGTCTGTGTATACTGTAACATGTATAATCAGCACTCTGTGTATACTGTAACATATGTAATCAGCACTCTGTGTATACTGTAACATGTATAATCAGCACTCTGTCTGTGTATACTGTAACATGTGTAATCAGCACTCTGTCTGTGTATACTGTAACATGTATGTGACGAAGTGCCCTTCGCCACTTGTGCCTGGAGAGGACTGCTTGCCCGCCTCTTGCCCTGTGACTATGGCCCCTGGGATGTATTGCCCTAAAGACATGATTTGGGCATAAGGGATTTGTGTTGTGCTGCTGCTGGCCCTTTAAGAACCATCTGGGGACATACTGTGGAGTTACTGGGTGGCCACCATTTCCTGTATCAGAAGCACATGGTGAGAACAATGGATGGCGGCCATTTTAACTCACAAACACTGTTTGGACTTTTCAACACGGTGCCATCTCGCCAGTATTTGTTGCACAGAGACATCGTGCGGTGGTTTTGGACTATACAGCAGGGGACACATTATACAGTGATTGTTTTTCATTTAGCCTTTATATGTTCTGCAGAATCTGCATTATCTGCATTAAACTGTATTTTCCAAAGTACTGAACGGATCTGGGTGAATTTTGGATATGTGATTCACCCAGATCCCCCGGTTCCAAGGATTTTTATGGGGTTATTGCATGTTTTGGGGTCCCTGTGTGTTTTATGAAACTGTATTATTTCTGGCCAGCAGATAATTGAGCTTTGTGTATTGTAGAGACTCAATTATCTAGCCTGGCCCAGAGGAGGAGTTTTGTGTTGCATAAATTGTAAGTTCTGTGTGCCAGTAAATCAGTCTTGTTCCAGCATTAAGCCTTGGCTCATGTTTGGGGGAAGGGATACCTACACTCTGGGGATTGCTATAATCACGTACTCCCCAGAGGAAGCTCTTGCAATAGCTTGATTTGTTCCTGTTCCTGCTCTCTGGGGAAAGAGAGGTTCACCCACTGGAAGCTGGATCCTGGCCTTGGGTCCAGGGTGGGTGGAAACAGCAGAGACCCCGGCGCAGTTGCATCGCTGGAAGTGGGGTCTGTAGTGCTGATGGTGTCGGTTGGAGTGCTTGGAGTCCTCAGCGAGCACTAGGAGCATCGATTGGCGGAGGTACTCAGTCGGAGTGCCAGCGGTCCATCACAATGTATAATCAGCACTCTGTGTATACTGTAACATGTGTAATCAGCACTCTGTGTATACTGTAACATATGTAATCAGCACTCAGGCCCAGAGGAGGCGGGCTGAAAGCTAGCCGGATAGGAGGCATGTGTGGGTGTGGTGGGTGTAGGTGTCATAAGTGGGTGTGTCAATTAGAGTAAGGGATGGGTGTGGTCCTTTATATACCAGTCATTTTGTCTCCCTTACCTCAGCCATCTTAGATTTAATGGCGTGGTAACATCTCTGCATCCTCCTGTGCTTACCACTGCTTGTCAAACGGCCAAGGGTATGGATATTGATGCAATCCTCGCTGCCCTCCGGGCTGAGGCCCTTCAAGATGGTGGACGGCACCTGCAGTCACAGCTAGTACGCCTGCAGGGTGCTCCTAGTGTGGCTGCTCCCTCTAATGGCAGCCCTGGGAACCAGGGTGCTGATCTTGTGGCTGCTCCCTCTAATGGCGGCCATGGGAACCAGCGCCATCGCGCACGTCCCCCTGCCCGGTATAGCCCATCACGGGGGGTCGGGTGAGGGAGAGGAGTAGGAGCCCTGTTGCCGGCCCACGCGCCAGTTCCTCCGCGGCCGCGGGCGGCACCTCCTCTCGCGTTTCAACACGCCGGATGGATGCCGGTCATGCCGCATCGCGGCTACCACCCCCCCCCGGTCTCGCGGGCTCGGCGGAGGTCGGCCGCGAGAACGCAGCACCTCACCGCACAGCGGGCACTAACCACCCGGTCGGCCTTGGCGGGATCAACGGCGGTGCAAGGGCGGGTGGCCCTCTCTCCGGGTCGGGTAAGTAGGCCGCTGGTCGGCAGGGCTGTCTCCAGGGGGGTGGGGGGTTCTGGGGCACGGGGCAGGGAGTATGCTTCCCCTAACTTACCTCTCAGCCCTCCCCCTGCTCTCCCTCCCCACTCTGTCTCCCCTGGAGCTGCTCTTGTCCCTGCGCCTGCTCCACTGTCTGCTGGACCTGTCCCTGTGGCAGCTGTGTTACACTCTGCCCCTCCACTTCTCCCTTCCTCCTCAGCTGCCCCCATCATGGCTGGGGCCCTTACAGGGTCTCCTGGGCCTGTCCCTCTCAATTTCCCTGCCTTGCCCGCTGGCCCACTCATGGCTGGTGCCCAGCTTGACCCCCCTGGCCCATTTCATACCACGTTGCCCCCCATTCATCCTGCCACTCTTACAGAGGGGGCCCATTGTTCCCCCACAGGGCCCTCCCCTACCAGTTTCCTTTCTACTGGGGTGGGTGGGCCGGGGTCCATCTCACCTGTGTTGTCTTCGCAGATTACTCCTGGTAGGCTCTCGGTTCGTTTTGCTGACGTTGCGACTGGTGCAGATCCTCCTGCAGTCGCTGTTCCAGCTGGGCCACCACAGTCTAGCGGCCAGGGCGTGGCTCCACAGATGGCTTCACATTCGGTTCCCGCCAGTGAGTATATTAGTTTACAAGGTTTGGGGTCGGGGTGTGTTAGCGCAGTCATCCCAGAATGGGATTCGTTGCTGCAAACTATGCGACAGGTTTTACATTCCTTGGAAAAGGGCCCCCCCCCTGGGGCTCCCCTCACCTCGACTTTAGATAACCAACTTAGAACGGGTTGGGCAACTAGCGGAAGGTCAGGTGTCCTGCCTTCTACTTCGGCTGTCTCAGGGGGGCCTACTGCCCTCCTAGAATCTTTGCCTGCCGCAGGAGAGCTCGGAAGCCCCGTGGGGTCAACAGTGACCCCCACTGCGGTTCAGGACTTGGGGGTCGCACCCGCTGCGCACGGGGCGGCTTACATGTGTTGGTCAGGCCCCCTGGGCCTCCATTTGACAGCTGAATTGCGGGCAAAGATAGAGAAAGGGGAATTTGTTGAAATTTTTTCTCTTCTCCCTATGGAGGACTTGCCTCGGGTTGATCCTGCAGCAAAGGAGTCTGAAATGGAGAAAGAGAAGTTTCGGTATCGGAAGATACCAAAAACTTTTGGGAATTGGATCAGGGCCTTTTCTATCCTGGCTAGCGTTATAGGGGAAAAGACTCCCAACAAATGCTCTTCTCTATTTTGCTACCAGGATATGATCTGGAACGCGTGCCGGGTTTATGGCGGGTTAGGCTGGTGGCGGTATGATGAACAGTTCCGCCAGCGCTTAGCGGTGCGCCCTTCCCTGAGTTGGGATCAAATGGATATCGGCTTGTGGTTGGCCATCATGACCCGTCCCGCTTCACATCAGGGGGGCCTGTCGTCCTTTCTTGGGGGGCCGGCGCAGGGTCCTCACCCTCCGCGTCGGCCACTCAGCGTAGAACAGGTTGCTGTTGGCAATTTAACGACGGCCAGTGTAAATTCGGAGCAAATTGTCGCTTCAAGCATGAATGCTCCGGTTGCGGCGGGTCCCACCCCGCTTCTAAGTGTTTTAAGCGGGGTAAGTTTGGCGACAAAGGGGATGCCATGGGCGCTAAGGGCGAAGACGCCGGTGGACGTCGTCGCGATGCGTCCGTGGCTAAAACGTTATAGGAACAAAAAGGCGGCTGCCTTGCTCCTGGAAGGGTTTACTCATGGTTTTTGGATTCCCCATCGGGCTCGTTCGTCCTCAGGGTCGTGTCGGAACCTGCGTTCCGTTGCTGAACACCCGGGGGTGGTAAAAGACAAGCTGGCTAAGGAAGTGGCATTGGGCCGCATGGCTGGCACTTTTTGTGAACCCCCCCTTCCTGACCTTCGGGTATCGCCACTAGGCGTCGTTCCCAAGAGAGAGCACGGGAAATTTCGGCTAATTCATCATCTCTCGCACCCCCAAGGGTGTTCCGTGAATGATGACATTGCGGCGGAGCTATGCCGGGTTTCATACGCCTCGTTTGATACTGCGGTTGGTATGGTTAGGGCCGCGGGCCCCGGTGCACTGATGGCAAAAACCGACATTGAGTCGGCTTTTCGCCTCCTGCCGGTTCACCCGGAGTGTCATCATCTGCTCGGCTGTTCCTTTGAAGGGCAATTTTACGTGGATATGTGCCTCCCGATGGGTTGTGCAATATCCTGCTTTTATTTTGAATGTTTTAGCTCCTTCATGGAATGGGTAGTGAGAGCTGAGTCTGGTTATGACTCAGTGCTTCACTATTTGGATGATTTTCTTTGTGTGGGTCCCGCGAACTCCCCGATATGCGCGCACATTTTGCAATCGGTAGCCGACGTGGCCTGTGGGTTCGGCGTGCCTCTGGCGCCCGACATAACGGTGGGCCCTTCCCCGTGCTTGTGTTTTCTTGGAATTGAGATCGATTCGGTTATTGGGGAATGTCGGCTCCCGCCGGATAAGTTGGAGGATCTGCGGGGGGCTGTGCGGGAGGCGAGCTCCCTCCGGAAGATTACTTTACAACGGCTTCAATCCCTCCTTGGCAAGTTGAATTTTGCCTGTCGGATTATGCCTATGGGACGAGTGTTTAACCGGCGCCTAGCGGCCGCCACGGCAGGAATTGTAAAATCATTCCATTTTATCCGCTTAACCAAAGTGCTCAAGGAGGACTTGGCAGTATGGATGGTTTTCTTAGATGGGTACAATGGCAGGTCCTATTGGCAACAACCAGAGGTGTCGAATTCTGTGCTACACCTGTTCACTGATGCGGCAGGAGCATCAGGATTTGGGGCTATCTTAGGGACGCAATGGTGCGCGGAACCTTGGCCTGAGGCTTGGGTTGCTGCTGGCCTTACCAAAAATATGGCCCTCCTTGAGCTCTTCCCCATCGTGGTGGCAGTTCATTTGTGGGGAATGGAGTTCAGGGACCGGCGCGTCGTCTTCCATTGCGATAACTTGGGGGTGGTGCAGGCCATTAATAATCTAACGGCCTCCTCCCCTCCGGTGGTCAGGCGCTTGCGGCGTCTGGTTTTACGATGCTTGTCATTGAACGTGTCATGCCGCGCTGTGCACATTCCAGGTGTTGTGAATACCACAGCTGACGCTCTCTCTCGTTTCCAATGGCAGGTATTTCGATCGGCTGCTCCGGAAGCGGATCTGGAAGGTCTCTCCTGTCCCGCGGAACTCTGGTCCCTTGGCCTGAACGAATAAGGGAGTGGATACGGTCGTCGGTGTCAGAGGCAACATGGGTCCGGTATGGTAAGGCGTGGGGGGATTGGGTCGCACTGGAACAGGATTGCGGTGGGTTCGGCTCCTCTGCCGAGAGGGTCCAGGGTCTGTTACGGTTGCTCTGGTTCTGGGAGGCTAGCGGGTGTTCCCCAGCTACGGTTTCAGGGAAGCTATCAGGCCTTAGTTTCTGGTTCAACTTAACCCAGGTACCCGATGTGACAAAACACTGCATGGTGAGGCTTGCGATGCGCGGTTGGCGGAAAGGCCGATGGTGCGGGATACTCGCAGGCCGGTTTCGGGCGTGCTACTGTTAGGGATCGCCTCGGTTCTCCCCCAGGTCTGTTTTTCAGCTCCGGAGGCTAGATTGTTTTTGGTGGCGTTTACTTTCGCCTTTTTTGGGGCTCTTCGGGTCGGAGAACTGGTGAGCCCTAGCAGGGGGACCCCTGGGGGGCTTTTATTTCAGGACGTGTTTGTCACGGGTACTACGGTGCAATTTTTGTTGCGCCGGTCCAAGACCGACGTTTTTGGCAGGGGTAAGTGGGTTACCCTTCGTGCCATTCCGGATTCGGCAGTTTGCCCCGTCTCGGCATACCTATCTTACAGTTCCGGGCGTCCAGGTTTCTCTGGCCCGCTGTTAATTCATGAAAATGGTGCCTACTTATCTCGATTTCAATTTCTCAGGGTATTTCGCCTGGCCCTTGATCGGCTGGGAATCCCGAGCAAGGATTTTGGGTGTCATTCCTTCCGCATTGGGGCCGCAACCGAAGCCTCTCGGTTGGGTTTCTCTGATCAGGCTATTCAGAGGATTGGCAGATGGGAATCTGGGAGGTTTTGGTCCTATGTACGGCCCACGCGGCTAATCGGTTCCCCCCTTGTGTTTTCTCCACAGGGCCCGGCCGTAGGATCTGGCTGATTGGGCATTCGTACATCTATT